AGATTCCTCATCAAGGATCTTGAGGCCACTGAAGATTATTAAAATGAATTGAACCTATGTTGTTCCAAGCCCTGAACTCCAGCCCTTGTCACAGCGCGTCACGTTCGCGCAGCAATCGGTTGGCCATATCTTCCACGTAACAAAGCCGAGGATGGAATACGCGTGTACATAGTTCAATTATATATTGCACAATCGTTTTTTCTTCTAGATCCGTAAGTTTGCGCGAATTGGCTGGAGTATCGCGCCGTGCAGGTATACCGGCAAGTCGAAGGCTAATAGTTCTATCGCCAGCTTTGTAGATCTTCGCTGCGGCTCGTTTGCTTGAATTTTTGTTGTTTTTTATAGCTTCAGCGGCCAGAATTACTCTGGCTTTGTTAGAGGTAGAAGACATAGTTTTTGGTTGAGAAAGAGAATGTTGAAGGTGGAGGGTCAGGTCGCGTCGAAAAGTGCGGTGCTCGCTTGTCTGCGGCTGGTGGTTCTCTCAAGTGGGTCCGTAGCAGTATATTCGTAGCCTCTGGGAGCCACCATGCTTTCTCTCCCCGTGCCACTTTATAGTTAAATATGAGACCATAACAGTCCTCGCCCCTGCTGCTCCTGCCCGCACGGAGCACTGGACCGGCCTCGAGCTCCACATCCTCGCTGATCAACTGATCAAGGAGTGTGTCGACATTGATGTCTGGCGTCACCATCTCTCTGCTGGTATTGATGTATGTCGGTGGGGAAGAGGACAATGATAAACCGTTTGAGCCTGAGCAAGCTGCCGAGGTTATGAAGACACTGTCCCGGTGTGTGAGGGCTTCTGAGGTGGGCACTCAGAGGCAAAAGGACAATACCTTGGGCAAGGTTGTCCGGATTGCGAGGAAGAGTGGGATGGCGATTGAGAGGTTGCAAGCCGGGTTAGCGTTTGGAGTTTCGGTAGTGTGAGGGAGTTTTGATTGGGCTTTGGAGGGATTATACAGCATTGGAATTTTGGTTTGGAGGATTGTTACAGCATAAGGATTCGGTCGACATGGGACTTGGGGATGGGATAGATTTCGGATTTCAGCTCGGATGAGCCTGACGGTAAAGTATGCCCCCCTTTTTGTTTTGCTAACTTTGTCTCTTAGGTTTCTTTCTTTTGGTATCCTGGGTTGGAGGGAGTCTGGGCTCAGTCGACAACTGGGCTATGCTGCACGGCCTTTGGAGTTTAGAGCTTCGGATACGGCAAGCATCGGTTAGGGAGGCATCGGCCGGATATATCACGACAACTTTTCGGCACCCAGGACATCGTTGGGTTGGATGACTTAGACAGACGACTTTTCACTGCGGTGGATTCCATTCGGCAACATACCATGGTGCCAGGATCTCAAGGCTAGTAACTTTGCGGACTCTTTGGGCGTTGGGAGGACCGTCATGGTTCAACTTCGGCGGACGGTATTTCGAAATACGAGCTTGACAGCGACAACCATCAGCAGCATCCCTGGTGGTGCCAGCTCGTGATCTGGTTGTAGTTCTAGGACGTCAGTCGCGGCAGCATAGGATGTAGCTCAACCTCTACCCTCTGTTGGATTTGCAGCCTGTGGCGTGGGTTTTGTCGAGTTTCCTCACGCCCGCGTCATGTGGCGTGATGAACTTGTAGATTTATTGCACAGCAAAACGGCCATTGTGCAAGTACTGTATGGATATGGTGTTGGGTGTAGGAGTAATGTAATACCATGGGGGTGTTTGCTTTGGAGTTTACCTTTTCCGCCTTTCATGCTGCGACGTGCCTTGTGATTGTTTGATGTCCTTGATCTCTTAAGTAGTGATTGAACCTCTGAGGGTGTCGTGATGGTCCTGTTGTGGCGTTTAGAATTGACCTGATGTCTGAAACATCTGTCCCTCTGCATGTGTTGAGTCCTGTCCCTTGTGATATAGTCGAGCTGTCTGTCACCATTCATTTCCATTCTATCCTCAACATGGCAATTACTGCTGCACAGGTCGCCACGCTGGAAAAGTAAACCACGTGCATATCGAGGGGGCCTGCCAGCGACAACAACCCGCCATCTTTTTCTTGACCACCGTTCGTCGCAACACCCCTGCGCTGTTTTATACGGCTTCCACGAATTCTCAAATAATTTTCTATGTTTACCTGTCATTGTTTTTAATTTGTTTACGTGATGCTCCTGTCAACATTTTGCAAGATTCGGTGCTTAGACCCTCCTCGGAATCTAGGAAGCGAAAGTCCGCGATGCTACCCCATCCCATCCTTGCACACCAGGTACACAGCAAGTTGGAATGGTCATGGTGTGGCGGTCATGGTGACGTCTTGGTGACCCAGGCTCAAGGCAAATACCCGATCCCGTTGGACCATTCCAACGCTGATAATTTTCAGCCATTGGTTTGACGACAAAAAAGTTGCAACCTTCCCCATTCTCAAAGATTCAACTCCACGCCTTCATCTACAAACCAAACAACGTGCCCGAAAAGCTAGAAAGAAGCACCGAAAATAGACTCAGTGGCGATGCACGAAATCGGGGATGCGGTTATTTATAAGGGTAAATACCATTAGTCCCAAGCTCTGCGCTCCCTTCCCGCGTGGATGGTTCTGATAAAGTTGGTGATGATGCAGATGCAGAGGGCGATGAAGCGCTTGGCATCGTGAGGTCTGTGATGGAACCAACGAGCAAAACTGCTGCGACCTTATACGAGGTATGTGACGCATGCTGAGAGGATATCTCTGTCTCAACTGGCGATAATTGCCCTTCCCTAGCTGACCTCGTCACCCCGTCATTCTGGACGCTTAGATCCAAGATATTGAAACCGGCGAGACCTTCACCGTGGTAGAGACGAGGATTCATGAACCCCTAGCCATAAGCACCTAATCAACATCCCCACTCCTTCAATTTGGGCAATTTGATGGTGTTTGGGGATCTCTTTCTTGGTGCGGTGATTGACACAAACGAAAAGGGGGGCCAAAAAGGGGCCGAAGTGGGGCGTTGTAAATAAAAACGAGGGAGAAGCCGACCAGCTGAGTCATGCAGCGTGTCTTACGTCACATGCCCAACAACCTCCCCAACCACAAACCCCATCAAATATCAATTGACTCTTTCCAACACTCATCAAAATCTAAACTGGCTCAATGGTCTAGTGGTATGATTCGCGCTTCGGGTATTTCTGAACTTAAAAGTTCAAACCCCATCAGAACATGATGAGCAATGTGCGAGGTCTCGGGTTCGAATCCCGATTGAGCCCTCTTTTTTTGTAGTGGTTTGTTTTTTTGGTGCTGGTGGAAGACGGGGGATGTTTGGATGTTGGAGGGAGACCTTGCATGTAGGGAAATTTGTGTTGTCAGTTGGTGTTGGGTGAACAGCGTGGGTAATGAATGAGCTGAGCTGAGCTGAGCCAAGCCTTCGGCTTGGCTCAGCTCACCACATTTCTCACAGGTCTCAACTTGAAGCCATCACCGGCTCGGCTCAGTCTCATGGTCTTGATGAGGCTGAGCCTTTCGGAGGCCTTTTTTTCCACTTCTTTCTTGGCAAAGTGGATATTGAATCTGTAATTGAACTATCACCAACTAGATCATGGTGTTGACCGCCAATAAAGCACTGTTCAAATGTCCCCAGTATTCCATTGCCGTAGGCACTCAATTATATTGAGGGAACTCTCATCTAATCGATGGCATTGAAGGCCATACGTATGCTTGGCCTTACTGAATAAGCGTTCGGCTTCGGAAGACATCTGTGGGATCGCCAGTAGGACTAATGCCATACAAGAGAGTATAGGGAGATTCTTTTTGTTGGCAATCCACCAAGAAATCGGATCCTCAACAAGTTCCACGTGTTGACCCAGGTAGACCTTAATCTCATCGATGCCCTGGCTTGAAGGATCGGGCTTGTAGAAATTGTGTATGATCAATGGGTTCTTACGCCTTGAGGAGGCGCGAGATATAGAAGCCTGGGATGAAGCCGGTGACTGTGAACGATGTGGTGTTTCCATAGCCCTATATTTGTTGAATAGTTTCTTGAAGTCGTGAAGGATTCTGATTGCCTTCATGACCGTTAAGTAACTTTTGATCCATTCCATTCGATAGCTAGGATGAAGAATAAAAGCTGACTAAAAGATAGGCCCTTTATCTATCATCTCACAGTATTTAGGCAGCTTATTGATAGCATAGTTTAAACAGCGCTGTATGAAGGCATAGTCGTTGGGACTAAGCTCGAAAGAAAGCGTAGCCGGGCCATCGTCTTCGTCTTCGTCTTCGTATTGTTTATCGTTAACGTCGTCGTCGCCGTTTTCCGGTGTTGTGGGCTTGCCAAGGAGGTCTATATCTGGTGGAAGAAGATGACGGTCTTCGTGCCTACTAGGTCGATGATAGAGTTGTCGAAACACCGTGGGAAAACTCGTGATCTTTGGGATCGCCTGGGTGCTTGGGCGTGGCCGGAAGACGAGGATGACGATCTTGAAAAACGACATAAAGAAGAAGGAGACAGATTACAGACCTATGAGGCACCCTGAAGTCAGAGAAAGAATACGAAGATGAAGAAAGCGAAGCCGTATACTCACCCGTATAGAAGAGCCGCCCTATGCGCCATCCTCCCATTCCCTCGCAAGGATACCAGTCCCATCGAAAGGTTCAAAGGCAAGCCGTTCATCACACCCAGCCTTCATCTCCACCAGTAATCTCAATAGCCAAGTCGCTGTGGGAGCGACCTCAGCGAAGCGATTCTCCCTGCCTTCGAAGGCCTTAGTGATTTTTTGAATAAGTTAAGAATTGACTTTAAGTTCTTCAATATATCCCAGTTAGGAAGGAAGTAATTGATCTTCGGCCGGGAGGCGCTTCTTCACATCCTTTTCCTGTGAGGCCTTTCGGCAAAACTGATCAATCTGGTCCTTCAAGATCAACGCCCGTTCAATCATCTAGTAAGCTGAGTTCCAACGGGTCGAGTTGTCAGTCACCAGGCGGCCAAATGGAAGGTCTCCAGGCAAGTAATGGATCCCCATCCCAGCCAATTCCTCAGGAGAAAGACGGCCATGGCAGATATCATTAAAGGCTTCACTTCTCACGATACTGCGGTAAACGAATCAGACGACGTTGTGGAGCTTTCCTAAAGGACCCAGCTTGCGCCAGCTTTTGAGGAAGACTTCACCGGAAGGCGTGTCAAATACGGCGTGTTGTGAGGCAATATCGAGAGTCTCTAGAATCTTGCCGTCGTCCCCGGCTAAGAAGGCTTTAGCCACAAGGTTGATGATGTGGCCGAAGCAGAAGACTCGGCGTTGAAATGCCATATCCTCGGCCGCAACCGAGTCACGACCTGGAGGCCATGACTTGTATACCAACCTGATGGCTTTGTCGTTGCTGGGGGCGTCAAGATCCACGCCCCACGCCTTAAAAAGGGAGCAATATTCTCACCGCTGTGGGATCCAAGGATTCTAGGCATAGCCAACAACAAGCATCTTAGGCGCCCAGAGTCGTTGATAAAGTGGGCAATGACGGGCATCAACGAAAGCCCGGCCGGTGAGGTCTAAATATCGAAGCTGATATGGATCCGAGTGAGGGAGGCCTTGATGGCTACCTTCAGTTTGGCCATGCCTTCATTGTATTGCTCTTGAAGCTAGAGCCTCACTGTATGGTGAGAGCGAAGCAACAAGGCCTCAGTGGTATTGGCGTTGAGGAGGGTGAGGATATTGCGGAAAGAGTCGTGCTCAATACGGCGAAAATGGAACCAAAGGGGCATACCGTACAGACCCAGGAAGGATCCTTTATTAGACTCGTATCAAGGTCGACCTCAACAACCTATACGCTATAGGGTGTAATCTACGATGTACGTGGGCCCTGTCTGGCCAGGAAACGGCGTTGTATATAGAATTTATCCTTCCATGTAATACGGGGCTAGGTCTTCATATCGGGACTCAGATCTCCAGCTTCAAACTGCTCCTCTTCTCGGATTTGTTGGCGGAGCGGGCGGGAAGAAGTTCGAATATCGGGAAAGCTAACGGCCTCGGCAATTGCGGCAGTCATTCTGATTTCGCTGGCTCTTGAAGTTATGGAATCGCCGGTAACAGAAGACATATTGACGGCGGCGAGGTGGGAGGGTTTGAGGGCAGTGAGTGTGGCCGTTGAGCGGGCAGTTGGGAGAGGTCTGTTTAAAATCCACGTTTTGGTTAGAAAACAGCAGTAAACGACGAATTGGTCGATGAATTGGCTACTTACCAACGAATTAGCTAGAAAACGACGAATTGGCCAATTTCCTTTGGGCCGTATTGGGTTAGGCCGACGGCAGGGCTTCCTGCCGACGGCCTCACCGCCATACCCAGACCTCACCAGGCCTCACCAGGCCTCACCACCATGCCCAGGTATCACCACTTTTCTGTGGGTGCCAAGAAAACAGTAGGGCTCATTGAGCCCTTGAAATTGAGCCGGTAAAAGAATTCATCTTATCCCACGGAAAAAATGCCCGGCTCGTCTTGGCTCAGCAGCTCATCTCATGAAATGACATGAATTTATCTCAGCTCGTTGTCCACGCTGTGGGTGAACGAATGGCGATGAGTGCAAGTCAAAGTAGGGCGAGCAATGCAAGGCTCGCTGCCGCGCGGGGAAGAATGGCGTGTCAACTAGGTACGTTCTCATCACGAAGGAGCCATGCTGTGCTTGCTTCCAACCAGCAGCCTCCCTTCTGAACCCTTTCCCCACGCGTGTCTGGTTCCTATTCGCCTGTTAAACACCCGGCAACATGGGATATAGGCATGTTCCAGGCACACTAGACTGATGGTGTCTTAAGATGGATGACCGGCAACTCAAGATCGGGATAAAAGATGAGCATGAACTGCAGCCTTACTCTTCAGTTTCAATAATAACTTGAAGTAGCTTATCTTTGAACACACATCATTTCTTGTCAATCACAGATTTCAACAAGGATGCCTTGCAGCTGCCGTCCAAATGTGGTCTGTCTCAGCCACGCGAGACAGCAAGCAATGGGAGAATGCAAATCACCACAGGTTGCAAATCTGTTTGTGATTTTTGAAGCTGGGAGAGTTTTTAGTTCTATTCAAGTTTTCTTCCTGGATCAGCTGTCTCTTCTTCTCCTCTTCCGTTTGCGTTCAAACAAGGTGTCTTCCACCGTGGACGGTTCTTTCACGCTCCATATCAACACCTCTGGGTGATCAGGGGTTGATGAAGTCGGGGGCGGAGTTGGAACTGCGAGTTTGACATGGTTAGTGTCCTGCTTAGTTCATGTTGGACATAGAATAGGAGAACTGCTTACATTGTTGGCTACCAACCTGCCCGCCATCACTACCCTGTGTTGTGCTGAGTCTCTCTAGATCTGACTCCTCCTGTTCTGACAGCATCCTCTCCATGCTTCTCCTTGGTGACACCGGAATATGCCCAGTCGAGCTCGTGGGGAGAAGAAGAAGTTGGTTGCTGCTGGTGGGGCTTTGGTTGTACCCGATCTTCGGCGACTCGTGGTGTATCACCTCAAAATCCCCAAACGGCAATGTTGGACTGCCCTGAGGTGGCTCTCGCGACCGGTTTTGCAATAGAGTTTTGGCGGCTACAAAGCGCTGATAGTGGACTTGCAGCTCCTGTAGATTAGCATCGTGCTGGGATTGACCGCCCACGACCCAGCCAAACCGCTTCCTCACGGACGTCCTGGGTCTTTTTGCGTTTTTGTCTCTTCGTTTTGGGAATGTGTCTTCTGGTTTAGCCTGGAGGGAGCGGGCGCTCGAGGTGATGAGGTCGTCTAGATTTCGAATCGCTTCTTGAACCTCCCTGAAGTCTTCATCGCGGGCGGTGTCTGGTCTGGTAACGTCAAAAACTCTGTCGCGGAGAAATTTTGCGTTTGTGATTTCGGCTTGGACACTCGAGATTAACCGGACAGCACGTTGAATTTCTTCAGGGGCGCCTATCAAAGCTGCGACGGTCTGTGCAGCTGTGAAAGACTCGTTGAAGAGGCTCAGGCCTGTGGTGATAGGTTCTATGACGGCAGTCATGTTTGGTTATGGTAGAGCAATTGGTGTAACAAAAGGTCTTTGCAGAATGGCCCCTTCCGGGGTAACATTGCTTTTATGGCAGATTTACAAGGCTCGGTCTACATTATGGTTCGCGATCCATCCTGGTCAATGTTCCACGGGGGTCTTTTTGGGGGCCCTGAGGCACACTACCGGGCATACTGCCCTTGGCGGACGTCAGGGGGATGTACCGCCCTCGAGATGCATGAGGAGCCGAATGCTTGATTTCTAATGCCTCCCTGCTC